TAACAACGAAGAACACCTCCTCTACAAATGGTAATGGTTGAGTTCTCAAAATATCACTACGCACTTTGTCAAAAATATCATCAAGCCTTGCTAGGAAGGCATACACACGATGTAACATCCCACATCGCTCAGGGGAGTGATCCTTATATGTATATTCCCATCCCTACCTAGCACGAGGCCTTTTGGGAGCTCACTGGCTTCGGGTTCCGTAGGAACTCTGAAGTTAAGCGAGTAGTGCGCGAGAGCAATCCCATAATGGGTGACCCACTGGGAAGTTGCTCGTGAGTTCCCAAAAACAAAACTGTGAGGGCGTGGTCGGGGCCCAAAGCGGACAATATCGTGCTACGGTGGTGGAGCGGGCCCGGGAAGTGGTTCCCCCTGGGCCAGGATGTGACAATTTGGTATTAGAGCCTAACCTTGGTCGTGTGTGTGCCGACAAGGACGTCGGGCCCCTAAGGGGGGTGGATTGTAACATCCCACATCGCCCAGGGGAGTGATCCTTATATGTATATTCCCATCCCTACCTAGCACGAGGCCTTTTGGGAGCTCAATGGCTTCGGGTTCCGTAAGAACTCCGAAGTTAAGCGAGTAGTGCATGAGAGCAATCCCATAATGGGTGACCCACTGGGAAGTTGCTCGTGAGTTCCCAAAAACAAAACCGTGAGGGCGTGGTCGGGGCCCAAAGCGGACAATATCGTGCTACGGTGGTGGAGCGGGCCCGGGAAGTGGTCCGCCCCGGGCCGGGATGTGACACACGATCCAATTAAATTTCTTCTCAGAGTGTCTTCAAGTCAACAGCACACTCCATCTTGATTAGTCTTCTTTAATCCAATGCTTGCCAAACCGCTTTGAGATCGACATAGTATACACCAATAGGTCTTCCTTCCTAGCAAAGTCGAAATGACTTCACCTTCTACTCATAAATTTGAGAAATATCAGACCCATCAAAATACATTCGAGCAACCTCTTCCCATACTTCTTTAGTTGTACGAAGATGAATGAAAAATCCCATGATGGTAGGATCCATGGAATTAATCAACCACCCTTTCACAATTGCGTTCCCCGTCTCCCAAGCTTCACACTCAGCACTATTCTCCTTGGTCTCCTTGACGCTCCCTGTCATTAACCCTTTCTTGCCACGGCCAGCGATATACATCTCCAATACCTTGGACCACATATGATAGTTTGACCCATTCAGCTTTACAGTACTTGGTACGGCTAAAGCATCACTCTGAATAATAAACCGAATTCACAACTGAGCCGTGGATAGAGCCATATGCTTCGCCCTCCAACTTTAGCCTTAACTCACCTTTGTCCCCCGTCATTGATCATGTCACGGTACACCACAAAGAACACACACACAAGCCGTAGCAGTACACGGCCCACTGCACTGCAGTTAGTTTTTCTGCGGCAAAGATGCAGCAAAAATAACCAAGCAGCTTTCCTTCTCACGACACAAGCAGCACGGTGGTGGGATTAAGGTTACAGTTGGCTCTGGTGCCAAATAGAATTTTACGGGATAACTTTTCTGTATTCCATAATTCTGAATAAAAGGTACATACAATCCTTGTTACAAAAGGAAACAAATAAAGGACATAATTACAAAAATATTTAGATTCCTTTTCTCCTAAATATTTACTTTTTCCAATAAAGCCATGGTTATCCACAATTTTTAGGAGTCGAAAAGACTCACAGAGGCATTTCAACCTCTCCCTGGCCACAAGTCTGGCTTCCACACCAACAACTGATTTCGAACCCGAGACCTCCAGTTTTTAGTTTGAAGGAAGCATCACAATCCATCATTTACCACTGGGCCACCAGCTCGTGGTTAAATTAGATGTTTAATTAATCTTTCCACTAACACCAATCAAGTACATTCCTCTTTGTTCCATGTGCTGTATTTTAAAAACCTAATTATTTGTAATTAACTATTAGAGACATGTGTTATATATATATATATATATATATATATATATATATATATATATATATATATTTTTCCAACTCATACAAACACGTAAAGTGGGTGAAAAGATTCGAAGGCTTGTAAGCAAAACTATGTGGCATTTTGAGATAGGAAATAAATACAGTAACATGCAGAAGAATATTGGGCAAGATTTGAAACAGGAAAAAAAAAAGAAGAAAAAAAGAAAAGAAAAAAGAGCTAATCATTAATCGTGAGATTAATTTGAGAAGTGTACATTGTCTATTGAGTGACTCAAACCTGCAAAACTTCTTGGAATTCTTCAACGCACATTTAACCATTAAATTCAACAATGTATAAACTTGTTATGATCTTTATAAACTACATTAAAATTGAAAAACCTAATCACGAGATACAATTAAGAACTGCTTTGCATTAGAGAAGAGAAGGTAAATTAATATTCAGATAGAAACTGCAAGTTTGCTTCTTATAGAATTAGCCTGGATGTTGGGTTGTCAGTACTGAAGGTAAATTTTTGTTTGAAAACATATCTAGGGTTTTAAGACAAATTTGTGTAGTTTTGGATTTTGTGACATATTTGGCACCAAAAAGAAAATGGTCTAATAAGTTTAAAATTTTGGGTCAGATTCCAGGACACACGCTTTTGACACACATTTTGATATTTATTTTGTGTGGACCACTGTGTAATGTATTTCAACAATACCATCTATATTTTAGTACATCATTTATAGATCATTCTTGCAAAAAATTAGACAAATCCAAAACCCTTAAGACATCCATTTGTAGTGAAGAAAATTAATGAATACGATCTACAAAGAAACACTAACTTCAATCTAATGATCATTTGGTTTTGGATTTGAGCGATCTTGGTAGATATGATTTTTGAGATGAGATAAAAAAATAAATGATTAGATAGTTAAAAAACATGTGTCAAAAACGTATGTCTCCGGATCTTTACCTTATAATTTTTGGTGAAAACATGTTATTGACTACAGATGGAAACAAGCAAATCAAAGATTGATAAGTTCTAACCAACCCAAAATAATTATATAAGCAAGTCAACCCTTTTTGGAACACATTATTATATATTCATACAGCACAATAATAACTGGCAATAATAAGAGACTTGGATGTATTTACCGACAAATATTCAATCATGCATTTGTTTTGTGATAAATATTAAAATACATGATATTGCATAAATTTACTTAAAATATTATCACAGTTATATGTTTATATGCTTATATTCGATATGTGATTGTATTTATCAAACTAATCACACATTGTTACATAATTAAATTAAAATATATAATTATATGCATAATTAAGTTGAAATATTGTAACAAGCCTTGTCCGTTATCTTTTATATATATACACACACATACACACAGACCCTTTATGCAAAGGGATCATAATTTTTTGAAAAAATAGGGATTAGGTGTGAGGCCCACTCTACATCGAATTTCAACGATCCGAACCGTCTATTTTGTAAGTTTCGATTCATAGATCATCCTTGCAAAAATTCAATTCAATTCGAAACCATTTGCCTATTTAATTATCAAGATCAAATTTCATTGTTTCTTTTCTTTGAACACAATTAGATGTCTTAAATATTTTTGATTTGGCTAATGTTTTGCAAAGATGATCTATGAGGTGCAACTTAAGAAATAAATGATTTGGATTGTTAAAGTTCGATATGATGTGGACCCTACAACTAATTCCTATTTTTATAAAAAAACAAAGAATCTTTTTCCTTAAAGGCTTCTTTTATATATATATATATATATACACACACACATAAGGAATTGTTATTGGCTCTTCAAAAATCTTGTTTTGTGCTCCAAATTATTTATAATTAGAAATAAAAATACACTTATAAAAAATGTAAAATGAAAATTTTAAAATGCTAATAACAGTTCTTTATATATATATATTGACGTGGTGAAAAGCAGGGCAAATGCCTACCTCACCACCACCACACGGTAGGCCGAAGCTCTGAAAGCCCCATATTTCTCAGAGAAAGTCTCTAAATAAAGGTGAAAGCCAGCTGGCATCAGTGACGCGCGCAGAGTTGTAGCTGCAGATTACTACGATAAATGAATTATCCACTTGCTTTCATCACTGTGCTGGTGTTTATCTATAACTTTTTCATTTTTGGATCCAGTTATACATTTATGGAAAATCACAAAGTTGACCAAAATTGAAATGAAAAACATAAATAAGGAGGATTTTTTTTTTTATTTTTTTTGGGTTAACAACCGAGCATAAGTCCGAAAGGCAAGTGCAGAATCCGATTCTACCATAATCTTCTTAATTTCATTATTTCATGAAAGTAGCAGGGGAAACTATCTTCACCCGAAGCCAATTTCCAAGTAAATAATAACAAATTTGGAATCATTAGGGAGAGCAAAATCCTGCCCAAAATACTTTTGCTTCGCTAGTGTCACAAGAACCAGCGAGCAATGCAAAAAAAATGTCTCCATTGCAAATCATCAAAACTAATATTTTGGAAGAGATATTATTTTGGAACCAATTAGTAGTTCATAAACCAGTAAAAAATTGATCAAGAACAGGGAAACTTCTCCGAACCTTAGCAGCAAAGGAGCAGTCTCTAAGTCAAAATCACCATCATATCTGCCGTATAGCCAACCCCCGTCTAACTCGTTGAGCATTGGTCAGTAATTTACCTAGCAACACAAGTCAAAGAAAAGAGAGCACTTGAGGAGGAAGACGCAACTCCCAAATAAACTTTCATCGCTATTTGGTATTCATATTAGCGTTTAGGTCTAACACATAGACAGAGACTTCACAGTAAAGTTGCTATCATTAGTTGGTCTCCGTATACACTTGTCTGTCAAGCTACCAATACCATCCACATAAATATTGACAATTTTATCCAACGTTTTATGTCAATCATACAATAATATATGCAATTTAAGTCCACATAATACTATATTCATAACACAAAACGGCGTGGTGACTCTGGAACATGCAAGTTGCTCCTTAAACAAAAGGGAAAAAGAAAAGGAAAAAGACTTATTGCACAATTTGAATAGGGAATATGAATTTTAGAGAGAGCCCAGCTTGTTCATTCATTCAAACCAAGCAAAGTTTACAAAAGAAACACAAAAGTTTAATTAATCAATTAACAAGAACAATATAAATAAAATAAAAGTGAAAAAAAAAAAAAGAATAATGGTGAATCATCTCTGCTGATCTGCCTTGTGCAACTGTCCACTTTTTCTCTCCCTCTCTATATTTCCAGGGCTCAGTTTTGTTTTTCTCTGTAACGATATATGACTGCTGCTACGTAAATTTAGAGCAAGCTTATTTCTTGTGTCTTAATCCAATCCCCCTCCCCGTTTTTCAAACGGTTTTTTTATTCACCAATAAATCAATAAATTGGAAAAAAACTGATGACGACGACGACGACGAAGACTATCCGAGAAGCAGTAGAAGAAGAAGAAGATCAAGAGGACAACAAAAATCAGAAGATGATGAAATGGGGTGGTGATGAACAAAGGAGAATGAAAGAAATTAATTTAAGAAAACAAGAAAAGGCCAAAAAAAAAAAAAAAAAAAAAAAAAAAAAAAGAAGAGAAAATAGAAGAACTAATTTTTTGAGGGTTTCAACTTTTGCTCATGTGAGGTATAATCTTACTTGAGCTAGATTGAGATACGTACATATTGTACAGAGATTTGGCCATGCACATTTCTCACTGAACCATGGCGAGGAAAGAAGGTGCACCATTGCCTCCGCCGTTGGACGAAGGGCCTGTATTCTGCTTCTGAAACTCTATCTTGTAAGCCATCTTCCGCTCTTGCTCCGTTTCTTCATCGTCTTCCTCGTCCATGTCCTCGTCTTCCATGTCGTCCTCCTCTTGATCCATAAGATTATCGCTATTCGCTTCCTCCATCCTATTGCAGTCATCTACTCCAAAATGTTGTGGGTGCCCTTGTTGGAGGACTTGTTGGTGATCATGCACCTCCATCAACTCCTTCACAATGTCTTCTGGCTTCAAATGTAAAACCAATAATCAGTATGTATCTATGCTTACATTACTAATTTATTCCCCAAAAATTTGTACGCCAAATAATGCGGACATAAATTTTTGGATCATATTTGTTTTGAACAAGTAAGATACTGACAGACGCGTAACGAATTTTGTCAACAAATTTGATGACTCTAGTATCTCAAGACCCTAGCATTAGCAAATATTATTGACTAGAAATATATGGAAAAACTTTACCTTCTTGGCAGCCTCTTCTGTTCCCTCTCCAAAGAGGTTAGCTCTCAAATTTGTTTCCACATTCGTGCTATCATCTGCATTCTTGTTTTCTGATGCAGCCACTACTTGCTCCTGTTGAGGTTGTTGTTCTAGCATATTTCCCAACGAGCTGCTGCTGCCGCCCGTAGACCCACCGCCAAGCACCCTTTTCCGGTAAAGGGCATCTAGTTCGTGAAAATACGGACACGTTTTCGCATCCTCGGGCCGCTTCTTGTTGCTCTCCTTCACCTTCTTGAAGTACTTGTTGATGTTCTCCCATTTCTCCTTGCACCTCTTGGAACTCCTATTGTACCCCATCCGCCCCATGCCGGCGGAGATTTCCTCCCAAAGTGGGCCTTTCGGCCCCGCATCTTGGTACCTCGACTCAAGCCCGCTCCTCAACTTTATCAGCGCCAGTACTTCTGCCTTGGGCCATCTCGAAGATGATGCAGGCTCGGAGCTCCCTCCTCCTCCACCGCTAGCAATATTCTCCTGCGCTGTCGGAGGTACCTGCTGTTCCGGTACAGCCATCACCGGTTGAACATTTTGAGGCTGCTGAACATGACGAACTTGTTGCATTTGTTGCGGTGGCTGAGGTTGTTGCTGTTGAACATTTTGAGGCTGCTGAACATGACGAACTTGTTGCATTTGTTGTGGTGGCTGAGGTTGTTGCTGTTGCGGTGTTTGATATGTCTGTGTCGTCGGCTGTGGCGTTGTCTGTGGTAAAGGCGTGACAACCGACACCGACGGAGGCACAGGTGGTGGGGGAGCGGCTTGGACATTGACCGGCGGAGGCAACTGAATAGTCTGACCAGTAATTTTCTGCAGGAAAGAGATAATGGCGGCATCTCTTGAAGCAGAGATTGCCCGCTCTTGACTCATGAGCTCCTGCTCGCGAGTCAACCGGGCCATCTCCTGACGTTTCCACGCCTCCTCCCTGATAGTCCTGTCCTGCTCCCTCTTCTCTATCACTTCTAGAAACCTCTGCTGCATGCTCTCTTGCTTTTGCATCACTTGCTTCATCAGAACCTCGAAAAAGTTCATCATTTTTCGGGTACTACCGCCGCCACTAATTCCGGTACTAGTACTAGCACTCCCCCTTTTTCGCTTCCGACTCGAGCGCTCTCCTTCCACGTCATCATCGTCGTCCTCGTCGTCAGTTCCCGGGGAAGTCGACGAGCTGTTGGAGGAGAAGTTAAAGTCCATCGGAGTGGCTGCAGGCTGGGACGAGGGTATTATTGGAATTACAGTGGCGGGAGGTGGTTGTTGTTGCTGTGGCATTCTGAACGATGAGATGGGCATGGGGTTACTGACAGATCCGAACCCGACAGAAACCGGATTCGGAGACGCGACGTGCACTGCCGGAGAGGCTGACACGTTAGCTGTCGTAGCTGCGGCGGTGGCGGCGGTGCCATGCAGAGCCTCCAGCTCGCTGAAAAACTTGTAGCTTTTGCCGTCTTGGCGCCCCGCGCGGCCTTCTTTTGTCCGCTTGTAATATTTGTGAACGTTTTCGAATTTCTCCTTGCATTTCTTGGCATTTCTTTGGTACCCCAATTCCGCTAGTTTCCTGCACAATGTAACAAATCCATATTTTTGTTATAAATAATTAAACAATTTTTTAAATTTAAAAATTTGAATTAAACCCAATAAAATAGAATAAATCATCATCTTCCAAACTAGGACTCGAGGGAGGGTTAATGGAGGAAAAAAAAATGGAGGGGAGAGGGTGGTATCTATCTCCTATGCAATTAATTAATTATATAAGATTAGCTGTATATAGTCGAAATTTAGAAGCATTAGCATTTTATTAATTAAAAGGGAAAAAATGGAGAGAAAAAGAGGGAAATGTTGCTAATTTTTTATATTTTGGGGGGAAATAAAGGAAATCTTATTGGGATTTTAAAAAATTGGTGTGATAAAAATTGAATTTAAAGGGGGAGGGACAAAAATAAAGGAAGGAGGGAGGGATTGGGTACAAGTGATGCAGTGGATCTGAGCCGCTCTAAATACCAACAAGAAGAAAAAGAAAAGAAAGAGAGAAAGAAAGGAAAGATGCTCGACTCGTGAATCGTGATAGAAAGAGAAAGAAGCCCCATCTACCATGTGCGGCTGGCTGCCTGGCTCCCTCTGTATCTATGTATTTATATATATATATATATATGCAGAAAAATAATTAATTCATTAATTTCTTCCTCTCTTTCTTTTTTTTTTTCAAGGAAAAAAAAAAGAATTTTGTGAAAATACCCATCAATAATCAATATTGGGAATGCCAAAATGGTGAAGAAGATGACTTGGAAAATCGAAAAATGAATGAATTTCGAAACCTAAAATTCAATAAAGTGAAAAAGAATAAAAATTAGCATGAATTTTGATTTGATTTGATTGTTTTTGTTAATTACCTGGAGACATCTTCCCACAAGGGGCCTTTGAGGGTGGCGTCACGGAAGGCCACATCCATATCGGACCTGATTTTGAGAAGCGCCTGGGTCTCCTGACGCGGCCATCTGTTCCCGCTGGACCCACCACCGCCACCTCGATCCGCGAGAGCATCTTCAGCTGCAGCCGCCGCGCCGGACAAAGTCATGAGCTCGTCCAAATTCACCGCCGCGGAAGCTGGCGGCCTGCTGCTGATTGGGGACGCCTCTTCCACCACCAGCTGGCCTTGCTCCGCCGCCGCAGGTTCAGCAGCACTCATCTCTCCAGCTCCTCCGTAATGGGTTTGGGACCCTCCAGCTCCTCCAGCTGCTGGTTGCTGCATAATCTCGCGAATTGAGAAAATGGGTACTTCTCAATTCCTCAACGCACCTCGAAGATGTCGTCTTTCTTCCAATTCTTCACCGCCGATTCTGTACCCAGGGAAATTGATTGTGTACATTAAGCAGCGGGGGAGGCGGATCTTCCTCTTGGGTGAGAGAGAGAGAGAGAGAGAAGGGGGGGAGGAGGAGTTACGGAGGAGGGGCAAAAGGAAGGAGGGTGGGGGGATTAGATTAGACAACTAGAAAGATGAAAGGCAGAAAGTGAATTTTCCTATGAGTTAGTGCAGGACTTCACACACACTAGAGATTTGATTTTTATTCCCTTGTTTACTTAAAAACCCAACAACAGAAAAGAATATTAAAGAAAAAAGGAATAATAATTAAGGAAAAAAAGAGCAGAAAGAGGAGGAAGAGGAGGAGGAGGGTATAATCATCATCATCATCATCCCCATCCCAACTGCAATACTGCTGCTGCTTCTGCTGCCTGCAAGAGATGACAGACAGAGAAAAGAAAAGACAGAAAGACTGGATGGGTTGTGGGGGGCGATAGATAAGCGAAGAAAGAGAAACAGAAGACCGAGAGAGAGAAGTGAATGAATGGAGAGATGGCGATTATGAGGGTGCTGATGATGATTAAGAGAGAGATAGAGAGTGCGTGAGAGAGGAGAGAGAAAATTATAAGAGATGCTGTGTTGTCAGCGGCTCTCACTTTGCTGCTAATAATTGTCAAAACCATTTACCACTATATTTTACTCTCCATTTTCTTAAACTTTAAGAATGAATTATCACACTACTATTAAAGTCTAACTGTATTCTTCTGTATTTGTAAGTTTCAAGTAAGTTTAACTTTAATGGATGGATAGTTCGATACATATTATGGTTGATCGTTATTATTTTTACATGTAAGTTGAAATATCAAATTTGATTTTCATAAATAATAACGAGTTTGAAATATAATTATAGTTGATTGATTGTATGACTTAGTTTAAATCTCTCTCTAATATCGTTGTGTAAAGAATATATTTAAGACACACAACACAGACAACATTCGTGACGCTAAAAATTATAGCCCATCAATGTAAGATATGTATTATTGAGTTTAACAGTTGAATGTCAGCTAAAGAATTGAGAGAATTTAACAAATGAATATAAGCCATTTAAAGACAATTTACACCATAAATTTATTCTATATACTAAAATGATTTTGTTGATACATTCCCTAATTGAGGTGCACCTTAGCATATATAATTTCTCCAATGCTCTAGAAATTTAGACTCAAATGTTGTATTTGAGTCCAAATATAACTTATTTTCTATTGCACTGGAAAGTTAAAATTCATATATGAATTTTGATTTGTATTAAAACTTATAATTAGGTTTAGTTATAAGATTTGAGTCTAACACAGACTTCACGGTAATAAGAAAAGATAGTATTTCAACTAGTAAAGTTTTGACACCAACCATCTCCAATGCACAAAATTAAATGTTAAAATTCACATATGAGTTCTTATTTCACTATTTTTCTGTATGATGCACGTAATCAAACGTTAACACTCAGATTTAAGTGTAACATTTGGGTATGTGTATTGTGGAAGAAGAAGAAAAAAAGGCATCAATATTTTGAACCCAAATATAAAAATATAAGAATTATGTTGTATTATTTTATAATTATTAAGGTGCTACGCATAAGTCTTCTGGTTCGAATTTGTGGATACGCCCTAACGTTGGTGGTGAGAGAGAGTAACTAATTTCTCCCTAAACTTTTTCCATCAAACTAATAGCACATAATAATTATTTTGAAATGCAAATAACAATTTTCTATTATAAATTTATAATACATATTGAATAAAAGAGAAAAAAGGAAAGAAAATTCAAAGTGAATGGACCAAAGAGCAATGGAGCATAAGCTAGGCAACTCTCACATCCATCTTTAGGAATAAAAATCAAGGCCATCTTTTCTTTGCCATCACAATAATTTCCTACTGAATTGACCCAACAATCCCTCTCTGTGGGCAATGCCCTTGCAAAATTGGACTTTGCTTTTACTTTACTATGTAGCTTGGGAGCACCAGAAACTTTGCTCTCCTCCCCCTCAAGTTGTGCTCTCACTCTCTTTAATCCGTACAGTTTCACGTCCACACACCCACGAAACTCGTAAGAAACCAGTAGCTAAACCTCGCGCAGGGACAATTGACGGTAGCCTATGATGGATCCAGAATTTTAACTTTAGGTGGTCTTAGTACGTCAATTCAAGATTATTTAAGACGAAATAGAACCAAAACCGAATAGGTGGGCAGCCAAATTTTACTTTCCGTCTGAAACTTAGCTGTGTGTATGTGAAAGGGAGAGGGAGAGTTTGTGGTGGAAAGAGAATTGAAAACCAAAGGAGTGGGCTCCTTTCTTGAAATATTGTAGTATATGGGTTCCCCCTTTATTTCTTTTTACATTTTAATGAGTCTGTTGAATAAAACGCAACGTTTTACTAAAGCAAAAACAGTCATATTTTTGTGAGAAAAATTAGAGCAGCTTGTCTCATCTTCTTCCCAGCTTCTTTACTTAAGCAAATCTACAACAAACAAACCATGGTTGCAAGGCATCACCACCATCGTCGTAGCTTCTTTGCAGATCAGCCTCTGCACATCTATGGGACCGAAGAGGTCCTGGTCACGTCTACACCACCACCTCCAAGAGAATCGAGAGGTACTTCAAAGGATCTTCTACCGGTTTTCGGATGATCTCGAGACCACTTGGGTCCCTCTAAAGATAGCATTCTATAATTCAACCGTCTATCTAAGATAGATATAACCCTTATTTTTTTTTCGTATTTGTTTCTTCACATCCAAAATTGACACCCTAATTTTGAGCTGGAACAAACCAAAATTGTTGAAGCACACCAATTAGGACGGGAATCAGAATATGATCTGCACTCACTCATCAGTCATCACACTTAACCATGGTTTAAACTTTAAACTCAACCTAATTATACGTACTCTGAGATCAATCTGTGGTTTTTTTAACATTTATTTGTAGCTAGCAATTTAAATGATACTCCACGCTCCTCCTCTTCTTGCTCAAAACCAATATTATATAGATAATTAATTATCTAATTATTAATTAATTAAAGGGACTATTTGGTGATTAATGATATAAAGAGGAAAAAATTGGATATTTTAATCCCACATCGAAACTTTGAATTAACCTGGAGGGAGGACGACCTGTGATGCTGTCAGATGATGACTTTAGTTTCCAATTCCTTTAGTTTAAACAAAGTTGTTGTCGGTCCCATCTCCCATCTGACATGCTTGTAAGTCCCATGTGATTGGAGCCCTATGGAGGCTGATGGAATTTATCATATAAACCTGCATATTTATTTTATATGTATATAGATATTAAAGCTAGAAAGAGATAGAGAGAGAGAGATCTATTTTACACCAACAATGCCAGCGGCCATTGATGATTTGCTTAAAACTAACACTAATTGACAGCAAACAACTCCTGTTGTAAGCTTATTCTTTCCTTCTTTATACTTTTCCCATTCACACAAACAATGCCCTCACCTCAAGAAAAATTATAGTGGGATGATACTGAAACAGCGTCGCGTGATATAATCAGTATGCTTTCTTTTTCTTTCTATGCAAGTGATGGTGGAAGGACGGAAATCAAACTTAGGATTCTAAGTGCTTCTGTAAAAGCTATTAATCACTTGAGTTGTAAGTTATTGTTAATCAGTTGGGCTACGTTTGATAGAGATGATTGATTTGGATAGAACTATTCACTATATTGAGGTATTTTAAAGGAAGAAACGAATGGCAAATTCCTTACTTGTCCAAGTTAAAGGTTACTCATGAAGAATAGTTGGCGCTTTTAATCCTACCTTTGTTGTGGGGATTAGTATGGATATCTTTTCTTCATTTGTAACCTTCAACTTAGACAAAATGACGAATTTATCATCCATTTTTTCCTTTAAAACGCCATTAATATAGTGAATAGTCTTACCCAAATCAATCATCTATCAAACATGTCTGTATGTATTATGATATGAGTGAATGAACATCTATATAGTTTAGGAAATAAATATTAATAAGTATATATAAATTATAACATGTAAATTTGTTATACCACAGTATGATGCAATAATTTCTTATTGGACTAGTAACCATTGCGTTTGAATATCCAACTTTTGATCGCATTAACACATTGTGGGGGGCACGTTACGCGCTCTCAAACTGTCATGATGCTCCTCAAGCCGAATGTATATCATTGTGGCAATCATGCTTTTTCTAAGTCACCATAATATAATTATATACAGGTACATATATATGCATGCATGCATTATGTATTTACTATAATTATATGTTAATTACAACAAATCGCAGATACTATTAGGTTTAAGGCGCCAGCCAGGAAATAATTAAGACTGCCTAACTTACAGATATGCATAGTACTTAATTAAGGAAGAGAATATATACACACACACACACATACATACATATAGCCTCTTTATCCAAAGAAATCCCAATTTTTTTTAATACAAATGGAGACTAGTTATGGAGCATATTCCATATAAACTTCAACGATCCGAACTGTTTATTTTTCAAGTTTCACTCCATAGATTATTCTTACAAAATATCAGCCAAAAAAATTTTGGAAATGTTTGAGTCATCTAATTGAGTTTACAGAAATTGACATACAGTACATTCTAAAACATATTGGAATTTCATCATGACAATTAAATAGATAAATGGTTTTGAATTGAATTGATTTTCTATAAAATTAATATAAGAATGAAATTAAAAAAAATAGACGATTTGCATCATTGAAGTTCAATGTAATGTGAGCTCATAACTAATCCATATTTTTACAAAAAATAAAATAAAATGAAGATCCGATTCTCTCTCTCTCTATATGTATAATGTCAATGTGAATACATTAATTTGTTAACCCTAAGGGATCTTATTCTGTGATACTATTTGTCCAACAAGTTTTTGCTTCGTTGTATGCGAATCTTTTTGGTAAATAATTTGCACAAGTTTAGAAGGGAACCTTTTTCCCCTTTTTTTCTGTGTTTTTTCCCTAATGAATAGGTAAGGAATTAACTCGGTTGCTATCACATGGTAACCATCATGTTGCTAACATGAAAATGTTGTTAGATGGCCGGATTCGAAAATGGAGGATGCCCATGCAAGAAAAGGGAAGTCGCACTTATTAAAATGTAGTAGTAGCATTCTTTGTTCCACACCATACAATCACCAATTAAATTGTGCAATAGAAAAAGACAATGTGGGTGCATGAGAGAAACCCATGTGGATAAAAGAGGGAGTTAGGGTTTTAGAGCCGACAACGAGTGAGAGGTCGTAACTTCTTATCTATTCTCATATGTTATGTTTTCAAACTGTCAACAGAAAAAAGAAAATGTGGCACATGAAAGAAATTATGTGGATAAAAGACTATGTTAGGGTTTTGAAGCCAACACTAACAATGAAAAAAGTCGTAAGTTACCATTTAATCTAACATGTTATGTGATCATACTATCAATTATAGAGGTCATACTTCAACATCATACTAGTATGTTAATTATGAGATGGAACTGTTAACAGAAAAAGACAATGTGGGAGAATGAAAAAGATAAACCATGTAGGGTTTTGGAGTTGACAATGAGAGAAATTGTCAGTTACTGATTTACTATTCAGTCTAATATGTTACGCTATTAAACTGTCAATTGGCATCACCGATCATCCAAATAAAATATACAAAAAATGTGAAATTTATAAATGGGAAAAGTAGAAAATGAGGTGGCCAAGTGAGTGAAGGCATGATGATGAGAAAGGAAAGGAGTTTGGGTTGGGGAGAAAGAGGAGAGAGAGAGAGAGAGAGGCATTTAGCAATTAGGTTATGAGAGGGAGGGGAGGGGGAGACCAGAACAGATTGGCACAGCTGTAGAAAGGGGCCCATTACGTGAGGGCAAGGGGAGGAACGTGCGTGGCGTTTCTCCCGGATTTCTGAAACCCCTAACTGCCGATCACTGCACATGCCACTTGCTTCTCCTCCTCCTTCCCTTTCTTTCTTTCTTTCTTTTTTCTCCCCCACTTTTTATTTTTAACCACTTATAGTTTTCCTTTGTTTTTTTTTTTTAATAAACCCCCATTCTCTCTCTCCTACTCTCTCTCTCTCTCTCTCTCTCTAGGTTTTTTTATTTCCATATTGATCGATTTTACATCTCACCTGTGAGCTGGACCCTAACATGCTCTCCTCCTCCTCGCATCCCATCTTCTTCTTGTTTTTACACTGACCTACCCTCAGACAAACAGTAGTGTCTTGTGTTTTGCTTTATTCTTCGATCATAAAGAAAACTGTATGATATTGACCAAAGCAACTATGCGTGGCAAGTGTTTGTCTATGTTTACGTATTTCGAATGAAGAATGGACGAGAATGAAATCAACTCTACGATTCTTTTAGGTATTGAATTACGAATTTGAAGATGGAAGCCCTACTTCTTTTGATCAGTAAACTTGAGGGAGTAAATTGAAATAATTCAAATGCCCATGTTCTAGTAAAGGAAACTCCTTAGTAAATGCTGGAAATCAAGAAAAAAAATGCATTTGGAAAACGAAAATAGATATGGAAATCACTATAGATCTGTTTGGTACTGTACTTGAATCTAACTTTTTCAACTCAAAAGTCATTTTGAAATTTTAGGCCTTAAAAACTTGTTTAGCATGACTATTTTCAAAAAGTGAACTTAAGACTAACTTAAAAAAAAAAAAAAAAAACTAGTTCATTCTCTAAAAACACCAAAAGTGAATTTTTAAACTCTAAGGTCACTCATTTTTTTCCTTCTCTCTCCCCGCCCACCCCCCCCCCCCAAATTCCAGCCTCTTCATTCTCTCTCCTCCTCTCTATCTCATTTGATCATCTCTCTCTTTCTCTCTCCTTTGATCATTTCTTTCTTTTTTTCCTACTCTTTCCTCGTTCTCCCTCTTCTGCGACTCCCTCTCTTTATATCTTTTTGTCTAGTTTAAGTTTTGAGATTTACAAAAATATTAAATTTCATACCAAACAAGTTTTTGAGTTTTAAAGAAAATTATTTTCAAGAAATGTTTAGAGAAATAATGAATTTTTTTTCAATAGGATACCAAACAAACTCTAATATCCCTAGGGTCACTCAGTACTACGGTTTGGTAATATTCATTTTGCACTTGGAAATGAAGGGTCTTAGATTCGAATCTCGTGGATGGCGAATTCGATATCAAATTAAACTACCCATTGTATGGTAGGCGAACTTTCCCTCTTTGTGTAAAAATATCAAAGTACTAAAAAAAAAAAAAAACTCTAATATCCCTCGGGAATTATTTCTTGCTCAACATAAGGACCAATTGAACTCATATTTCTTGTTTAAGCGCGTGTCACACCCGTTTACGAGTGTGTTTACGCACAAAACAGCTTAACCGAAGATTTTTCCCTTTTAAGACGATCATCCTTTTTTTTGTTTCCGGCTCACAAAGGAGACTAAACGTAGGGTTGGCGGCCCTAAGCGGGAGGGGCAAACGTCGAAAGTGATACGTGGGAGGTACCCAAAACAGTAAAACGCCCGATTACGTGCCATAGCTAAGGGCCAATACACATCGTTAGGTTGGTGCGACACTTACCTTCCAAATTTTACTTAAGGGCCTAAGTTTATTAGTTTTTGGTTTCCTCCGCTGCAGCTGTGAAGGTCTGGGCTCTCTGCGCGCCTCAGTGAAAGATTCAGCAACAATTTGGGCCCAGTTTTGGGCCTACTATCCAAAATTACCTCAGCCTGAGCCCATCACCCTAACACACCCCAATTTGGGCCCAACGATCCCAACCCACCTCAAATTCATTACATCATTTCAGAACACTGATTCAATAAACTTGTACTAGTTTTGAACGACTAACTACAGCTAAAATCTCACCTAATCAGCTGCTTGATCGTTGAATCTTAATTTATGATTAGATTACCTTCTGAACAAAATCGAAGGCAAAGAATGTACTCCCCAAGCCAAAGATTTGCATGCTCGTCTTCAACTGTTCTTTTACAATGAAGCACTCTCAATCTGCAAGCACATACTTTCAATTTTCTAGAGGTTAGCCGAACTGATAACAGCAAGTGATGCTCATTTCTGAAATCCAGATCGATTCAGAGTCTACCCCGCTAACACCATCCAAGAAACCAGTTATTTAGTATCAGTAATCGAGCTGAAAGGTCCTTTACCACACTGTCCCACTGTTAAACTGACAACTTCCTCACTTGTTTGGTTCAGTTTGCAACATAACCGCCGCGGTACCTGTGGTTAAGAGATATTCATTATATCATAAAAACTGGAACAGGCAAGTCAGAAATCAGTTTCATTACATATGGCAAAAGTAGCTGAGTGAAGAAACTCACCAAATGCCATTTCTCGGTGGGCGGATAGCCCAAAACTTTAACTTTTCGCAGACTGCGCAAAAGTCGAAATCGGGAAAAGCAGAAAACCTTTCTCTTGAAATCATCTTTTGCTTTGCTCCGCATATATGATCCCAATGTAGCATCCCCCTGTTTCCTAATATCTTTCAAGAAGAATAAAATAGGCTTCTTACAAACAGACCTATAAGGGTCTTTGGTATCAAAATCAAATTCATTCCTGTGACTTATCCCATTCCAAGCAGAATAAGTCTGCTCTGAGCGCTCGAGGTCACGAGGGAGCACAATGTTTGGGAAGACTTCAACCACATAACCAAGCGAGACAGAAAATGTGAGACGGTGTCGATGATCATAGCAAATGGACCGCTGCAAAAAGCTGGTAGGTTGGAGTCTCATTGCCTGTGTGAAAAGCTTCAAACTTTGCAGAGAGGTGAAGCCGGGATAAAAAGGGTCAACAGCTTCAACATGGTGAATGGACACAAACGGTGCTATAGGATGCGAAGATAAAAGACCGTGCGCATTACCCCTAATGTCACACTGCCATACACAAATCCATTTCACTAGTTAAGCAATGCTCTAATAAAAAGAAAGATATATACGAAACACTCTTGTGAAACAATACAAGAACAAACACGTTTCACCAATCAAGCAATGGTCACGGAAACAAAATGATCCATCCATTCATACATATAGGTGTTTGTTTGTAGAACTAGTAGCTAATATCACACTGCCACAACAAACCCATCTCACCAATTAGCAATATTCTGTTTTTGATAATGCGATAATCTAAACTACTATAATCTACAGCAAGGGATAATCTAGACTACTCTAATCTACAGCGAGGGGGATTCGAACTAAGGTGCAACATGGCGGGCACACTGCCCCCAGACCAACTGGCCTAACACACATGTGCAATTAAGCAATGCTCTTTAAAATAGAAAGATATATGGATTTATATCTGAGATTACCTGATGGAAGCCAGGTTCTCTGGTTAATGGAATCCCAAGCTCAGTAATGCAGGCATGGAGACGATCGTCGCTTCCATAGAGCTTCGGGTACCTCTCGAGACACTTGTCTTGCATTCCGGATAGGGCTTCCGCCAAAGGGTGGCTAATTGCAATGCCGCCGCCGCCAAACGCCATAGAGTGGCTGAAATAAGTGTTGGCAGAGTGACTCTCCGACGGGCTTCCCACATAAACCATCTCCGACGAGTCGTACTTGCCCAGCACGGTGACGAGGTTATCGACGTTGATGATGGTGTCGTCGTCGGCTAGGACGAACCACCGGACATTGGGGAGGCCAAGGCGGAAGCACTCGGAGATTATCCGGGAGATTCGAAGCCCCGACGGGTGACCCGTCGGGTTCGTGTACCGAAACCGCGAGATGTCTTCGGAGACCATGATCGGCGGCAACAACCGATCGACGTCGTTTTCCGGTAGCTTCTCTTCCAGCCATACGTGGCCGCGCATGTCGTTCGGGCGCCACCAGAGCCGGACGTACTCCTTCCGCTGCTTCCAGAGTTGGGCCGACCCGGCAATTCCGAAAACGATGTCGTTTAGAGTGAGCTCCTCAGAGTGTCCAACCCGTCGCGAAATGGTGCGGTTTCGGGAGCGAGTGAAGGACTGTGAGGCGGGGAGGGAGTGCGGGGTGGCCGAAAAGACGAGGGAAAGCCAAGCGGTGGTGGAGATCAAGAGGGCCGCGACGGCGATGACGGCGGTGCCCACGTGGCTCTGACGGTAACGCGGAGCTTTGGGCGATCTGGGATTGGCGTTGTTGGGGTTTATTGTTGACGATGTCGTCATCGCCCCCAATGTTCATTTCCGTGCGCCGACCGCCACCGAATCAAAACCCCTAAACAATAATCCGGGATTTCGAATTCGGATTGGGATTTCGGATTTGGGACATTTGGGGATTTCGGAGTGCGAAGAGTGAGAGTGTGGAGTTTTGGGTGGAGTGCAAAGGCGGAATATCGTGGCGGTACGTGTGTGCCGTGGGTTGGGAATCAAGACACGTGTGCGGCGTGCGGCGACGGGGAAAAAGCCCTGCTAAAACCTACGCCACGTAGCGGGATTGTCAGGGGTAGTTCCGACCGGTAAAGTTTTCCCGCAGCCATTGGGGGTCGTCTCTTTTTCGTTTAAGGATAGTCGGGCGGCCGCGCGGAATAATAAACGTCAATGTCAACCGTTATTTGAATTTTGAATTGAGCACGATTTCGGATTTTTCTCCCTCCATTTTTTCATTTTAAATGAAACAATTGCTTCACATTCTTTTTTCCTCTTTTATACACGGTGAATTTTTGCTCAACATTATAAATTACGGATGTTTACCGTACATCTTACATATTGCACGTGTCATTTTAGCTAATCTTGATTAATGTTCATATTAAATAATCTTTACTAATTAATAAAATTTTCTTTGTTAATTAAAAAATGATGAAAAGACAAATTTGATTTCTATCACACACAAAAAATGATGGGCAATAATGTAATTTCACAGTTTTAAATTTTACTATTTTTTATTGAAGTCTCACCTACATGTGATGTTAAAATACCTCTAATATTTAAAAATAAAAATAAACCAAAAACAAAGACCTCTCACTCTCCATACGTTCTCTCCCTCTCTCTTTCTCATTTTCTAAAAAAATATATTCATACACACAAAGTATGTAGGCAAATGCTAGTAAAGATTAAAAAAACTAAAATACTCCTTATCTTTTCTCCACACTTCTCACCTTTCTATCTGTATCTCTCTCTTCCCCCACCCTACCTAATTTGTAAAACTTAACACATCTAATAAATCCTTGCATTCAACTCATATTCTTCTCCATTTGACCATATGTAGCAGAAAATATGGCCATAAAATCAAGAAGGCACATACTAGACGAAGAGTTAAACTTTTCTTTTATGTCTAACCATGGCCATCGCAAGCCCAAGTAATCGTAGTAGTGATGATGATTTTTCCAGTCATCATCTTCACAAAATAGCGGCAGTATTGGGACGGTTAATCGTCAAAAACTTCAAACTCCTTTCTTTTCAGTGCGGCCACGACCTCAGCGCCGTTAGCTATCTTGGCTCTCTACTAGTCACGTTCCCATCGTCTCTACCGAAGATTTCTAGCTGACGCCAGCAAGTTCAGGCCATTGGGATGGGTGGTTATGGAACTGAGGTTTTGTGACTATCAGACTTTCTTTTCAGATACTTTTTTGAAAGTAAAATATAATTTTTAAATGAAAATTAACTAAAATTAAGTAAATTGGCACATGACATATTTTTAGATGTATGGTGAGCATGCATTATAGTTTAGAGCAGCTCTAGCGAGAGCTCTAGCACGATGGACCGGCGACATTTCATACCCAATAGCCCCAGCTCTTTACTCCAGCCCATGCGGGCAATTGGGCTGAGGGGGGTCCGAATGAAAGGCCTGGCTCAAATCTGTGGCCCGAGAGCCTGAGGGCCGGCTGATGTCAGTCACTATATAAAATTAATAACTAATTAATTAAAAAACCAAAAAATTAATAAAAAAATCCAAAAAAATAAATAAAATAAAAAGATTTAATTTTTCTATAAATATGTTATCATTATCTTCCAACTTACACCACAATTTTATATTTTCTCAAATACTTTGGGTTGCAATTTCTTATTTAATGACACGTGATCTAACGAGACAGATTAAAAATCCTATTCGAAATTACAAATAAAATTAATTTTTATTATTTTATAAAATAAAAAAATACTAATATTTTATTACTTATTGCCATGACTATTTAGTTTAGGGGTGGAGATGCAAAAGACAATTACTGTTTATTAAAGGCAGTTACTGCTCACTAAAGGCTATTCAATAGGAAGTTGCCCTAGGGGGGCCTTGATACGTTGGACTTGCTCTTAAGGTGGTGAGCAAAAATGCACCCTAATGTTTCAGTATCAAGTCACTGCACAAGCACGTGATGTGTGACAAAGCCAAGCAAGTGTTTTTAGATCCCACTCTATTTTGTAATATGTGTGGATGCAAATTTTAGCCAACTTCTTATTTGATGAAAATGCACCTGCAAAATAATAACACCTAAGATTATGATCAAAAGCCTCATGCGTTCATGATGAATGGTGGGCTTGGCCAAAGAATCTCCGATGATAAAGTTAGAATTATGAAAAGAATGTGTTTTGGAGTTTGTGGGTAGCAAATGACTTAACTATTCAATGGGATAATATGGCTATTTATAAGGGAGTGGCTACCCTTATTTGGAGAATAGTGGCCGGCCATATATAGTGCAATTGGGTGAATAATTGCAAGAGATTATGTGAAATAATATCTTACAATTAACATGGCAATTAATCCTAAATTACATAGAAAATTTGGGAGTTATCTTTTGAATAAGGATTTGATGAAGAGTGATGAGAAGGATTTGAATAAATACCATTTTGATCACCTTTGACTCTTCTTTGATTGAGCCGCTATTGTCCTTTGCATGCGCGTGGGAACCCGATTTGCCTCAAGGGTAATTTTGTCATTTTAACCCAAAAGTCCATGTGTCACCTCAATAATTTTCTTGATTATTTTTTGGCTTCACAAATGTCCCCACATTGTTGGGCTGCTCCCAGGAAAGGGCAGCAGATGTAGAGATCTTCCTTTGCTTTAGAAAACATAAGATTGCTTCCTATTTTAATGTAGATTCCCACTTTAATTGGAAATTAGATCCTTCTAGGAAAAGAAAATAAATCACTTCCAAAGTCTATTTAAGTCTACCTTAAGTAAATGATTAAATCAACTTTAGAGAGCAATTTATTCTACCATACAGGAAAGAGAAAGCTAGAGGATATTTGTTCCCCCTCCCCTAGCAATCTTTTTCACTTGCCCGTGCAAAGGACTGTCTTTCATTGTTTTCTTCATCTTCACAACTCACCAAAGACAAAAAAAAAAAAAAAAAAAAAACAAAAAAAAAAAAATTACCTTGTCTTCTTAATTTTTTGGAGCCTCAGGGCTTGAAATTTGGCTAGACAGGGGTCGAGGATGTGTGAAAAGGTGACTGCAAAGGCCATGGTGTTGCTGTCGTCGGTGGCTTAGTGCGGCGGGGGCTCGGCATGGGCCGAGGGTTGGTTGCAACGCCGTGGGCCGCCGAGGTGAGCTAGGTTCAGATGGCATGTGCTAAGGCCCACTTGGCATGGGCTAAGGCTGGTGGGTGTTAGGGCACAAGGTTTGGGTTGTTGGGCTTGGGCCTGTGCAAATATAGAGGAATGAGGTGCAAAGGCCACTAACCCATCTCTTATTGGTTTTGGGCTGTGAGCCATTGGGCCAAGAGCAAAAAGGGAAATGGGAGCCACCGCGGGTTGGGCTCCCTTGGATACGCCTGATGCACATTTTTTTTTTTGCAGCTGTCTAACAATTCTTCCTTGCGTTTTTGTAGAATTTCTTCGAACACGTCTTCTTCAAGCCACAATAGTGACGATGGTGTATTACCGTTGTATCATCAATGAGGGTCTTTGAGTAAAGTGGGCTGCTTCAAGGCTCCTCACTTCAAAATTAATTCCTATGACTCGTTTAGAAAGCATATAGGCACGCCATTCCGTCTGGGATGCGTGTGAAGCGTGTCAAGAAGGGTAACAGCCATGAGCCATGTAGTGGGTCTCGGAAAGCTATCAAGTTTCATCCATACTACTTCATGCTGGCATTTACTTTTCCTATATCATGTTTCTTTCAAGAAGTGTTTTGCTCCATGAAGTGTGCCCCTGCACAGTGTTCTCCAAATGTGGTCCTTGTGATGATAAGATTCCTTAATTTGAGCCAATTTTTTACTTGGATCTAACTGTCAATAAGTTTTGGTACTTCTTTAACATATGCTGCATTGATGGAGTTAGGCAGCTGCAATCCCGCCATAGGCCCTTTGATCATTCGAGCAAGGGAGATCATGACTGGGCCAATAAGACTTTGGAGATAAGTGAAGAGTAAGAGTCTGATTCTTTCCCTAAGCTGTATATTCCAATCGCTTTCATCACTAGTAAGTAAACTGCTTAGTCTTTAGGCTACTTTATGCTTTCGCTAAGCTGCTTTCTGATTTATTGATTATCCTTCTCTATTTATGTAGATTCAGAATTTGGCTATACTTCCAAGACTTCTCCAGATATGAAGAAGGTACACGTTGCTTTAGGTATCCCTGTTGAGCACCATGAATGGCATTGGCTGCTTAGTACTCTTTGCCGGGAGAAATGTGTACTGCCCTTAAGGGAGGAGATAAGGAGGATCAAGGTAGATGCATTGACTAGTCTGATTGTAGTTGTAAAGCCTGCTATGAATGAAGGTGGAAAGAAGAGATCTTCCTTTCTTGCTCAAGAGATATCAGTTGAGAAAATGATAAAGGCTTCCTCTACTGATCGTGAGGGTCCACTTGCTGCTGAAAAACTTATGATTGACTTGACTTCTTCCAAGAAAAAGAAAGATAAGGCTGCTAAATTTGAGCCTGTGACACCTGCCATGCCAAAAATGGCTAATACGATCGCTGATAGGATTGCTTAACGTAGAGGTTTCATCCTGCCCCTTGTGCAGAAGCTTGTACCAAGACATCCATTAGGAGCTAAGTTCGGTTCACCTTTAGAGAAGCTTACCACTATGAAAAGTGATAAGGTGGACTCTACTGCTAAAGTGGTGCCAATGCCTACTCCTCATGCTGTTAAGACTGGTTCACCTGCTGAGAAAGATGAGATTGTTTGTGTAGGCAGTTGTGAGAATTCCACCAAGCCTGTTTCTAGAGAGTCTATTGAGATCTGTGTGCCAAAGGGATACCAAGGCTGCCAAGGAGATGGTAACGACTATGGCAGATGAGGCTTATTCTTTTGCCGAGAAGATAAAAAAGTTAGAGTCTGAGCGCGTCGCTTCGAAGGGGTCCAATATCTCTGCCCCCACTTATTTGCAACTTGAGACTGCTTGCCAGGAGATTGTTGACTTGAAGGCTAGGCTTGACGTG